CTTTGACCTAAATTAATACATAATAATGAAAATATATGAAAAGTATTTTTAATGAAAATTCTGCGTCAAAGTGTTGATGAGGAAAATTTATTCTTACCTAAATGTTGTTCATATTTTAAATTTCTTGTGGTGCTGTCATCTATATTAGATAGATGAAAACGAAGCATGTCTTTACTCTGATACGAAATCTTCCGTTAATATACACTAATGGACAAAAAAATTAGCGGCCCAAGAAGGAGTCATCAAAATGAAACGAAATTTTACATACATAATGACTACTTTGATATAAGTAAATGATTAGAAAATCATAGAAAAACGATAATCTTTGATTTTCTAATCATTTACTTATATCAAAATAGTCATTACGTATGTAAAATTTCCTTTCATTTNTATTTACCCCGACCTGCCCCAATTGAGGGCATACGGGTAAATGTTTATTAAAAACCAAGTAAAAAAACATTAAAGAACATAAAATACAAAAAAGGCATAAAATACATAAGATACAAAAGTCAAATGGCAACAGCTTGTAAACTTTGCGGGCGAACAATACTCTTGAACAAAATTAGTTATCTCAATTAGTCAGAATATTAAAGGCACAAAATTTAAATACTAATCATAGGGCAAATTGCCTATTAAGGAAACAATCGAGTTACAAAAAGTAAAATCATCAAATTAGTGTTTAAATAGTAAAAGTGGATTAAAATGGTGTGAATGACGAGGACAGTTCAAATCCTACCTAAGAACACCATGAGATTTAAAAAAAAAATTTTTTTTTTAAAGTCACTAAAAATCCAGTTTTAAGGATAGTCATCCCGGCTAAAAATCAAAATCGCCGAACCAGAGTCTCCAGTGATGAGGTAATTAAAGCGAGAGAATTGGAGTTGACTCAGGGGATATGGAAACGCTGATCCATACGGTAGTTGGACGGCCAGAGTTAGTAAAAATTTACAGTGGGTTTAATGTATCTTCCAAAGTTGTTTTGATAATGTCTTTGATGATTGATCTGCAGGTCAGGTTAGAGTAAATCTGGTGTTCTGTTTTGTTGTGAAAATTGTTGCCTCGTCGTGTTTGAAATTTAGGACATTGAAAAATTAGGTGATGAATGTCTTGTTGTGAGTTGCAATAAGTACATGTTGAAGATTTCCCGAAAAATCTTGCTTGGTGTGTGCCAAACACGCCGTGGCCGGTTAAGAACTGATTAATATAAAAGTTTGCCTTTATTCTTGTAGTTTTTGGNTATATATATATATCAATAAGTTTCATTTATTGTGCATAAGCTGCAAGTAAATAGAACTCCTAAAATAAGTTCAAAATGAAGACAAAACAAAGGAAAATTTCAGACTAATGAAAAAAAGGGGAAAAAGAAAATTAATAATAAAAACTAAAATAACAAAAATTGGAGGAACTTTGGCTATATTGATACAATATTAGAAAGCACTCTTTTTTGCGGATATAATCGTGCGGGATGATGAATATCTTTTATTTTCCGGATTTTTTAAAAGAATTCTATCCTTTTTCTCGGATTTTTTTTCCCCCTCCGACTATCAAAGGAACTATGATTGTTGAAAACATAATGTTCTAATGCAATCTTCTAAATTTCCGGAATACTTCAAACGATGTATGACTGAAACATTAACCGTGAATCACGAATTTTTTGTAACTTAACTATTTCCGTTGAAAACTGTTTTTTCAGCTGGGAGCGAGATTTTTTTTAAACTGAAGGGAGATCTTCGATAAATATCTCAATCGATTCCTATGAAGGATATACTCCATGAAATTACCAAGATTACTGATCTATGTAGTTACCTTTAGTGTGAAAAAATGTTTTTCTTTAAATCCAAATATCTTAACTTATACTAATTATAGTGAAATATTGTTTTGTTGTTACTAAATTCACCCTGATTCCAATTGTTTAAAAATAAACAGCATAATGGAAATTTCAGTCAAATATCTATATATATAGAGTAAACTAACCAGTGAAGAAACACTTCAGCTTCGCTTGCCTTTTAATAAATCATATTAATTTCAAAATTCGTAATTTCAGTTAAATGACAGTGTCAACATATTGTTACTAATTGCAAATTGTGTAAAAAAATTGCAGAGAACTTACATAATATTGTTTTAAAGTTTTGGAGGTTCAAATAACAAGTAGTAAGAAGACCAAGTGAAGGAACAGCTCTTACCAGTGAATGAACACCCAGTAAAGGAACACTTAATTTTGGTTATTTTTTAATGCTCTTTATGAATTTATAAGCCATACAAATATTTTAAACCAGCCTATTCTTGAAATTATAACATATAAATATTTGGAAAATGTTAACATTTTTTTTTTGTAATCATGAATTGGAAATTAAAGTGTCAACATATTAACACATACTGTTCATTCACTGGGAAATCTATGCCCAGTAAAGGAACATGTCTGTTCCCTCTCTGGTTAGAAGTTGTTTTTCGTATTTTTAATATACTTTTGATGTGGAACATCAGTAAAAGTACAAGAAAATTAAAGTTTATCTTTTATTTTCATTAACTTAGAAAAAAACCCAGTAAATTAGAACTTGTTCCTTCACTGGTTTTTCATCGTTTAGTGATCCAGTGAATAAACACCCCCTTATCTCAGTACTTTATTATGCTATGATGTTTAAAAAAAATAAAACGTAACTTCAATAACTATATTTTGAATTCTCTTTTTCACAGTGAGAGAAATAAAACTATTACAGGCAATTAATTCCACTTCAAACATATAAATACAAACACTCACCTTATAATTTTTTCAAAGAAACAAGGTGTTCCAGAGATAATAACAAATTCAAGAATTTTTCCAGAGAAATCTATTTAACCAGGTAATCCAAAACATTGCTAGATGACTTCCTATTGTTTGGCAGTAAGCTATTGTTACCAATCAATTTAAAGAAAAAGTTTCAAATTCTTATTTTTAATCGATATATATGAAATGTTCCCTCACTGGATGGTTTACCCTATATAAGTTCAAAATGAAGATAAAACAAAGGAAAATTACAGACTAAGGAAAAAAAGGGAGAAAAGGAAAATTTGTAATAAAAATAAAAATAACAAAAACTGGAGGGGAAAAAAATCCGAGAAAAAGGATAGAATTCTTTTAAAAAATACGGAAAATAAAAGATATAATCTATTCATCATCCCACACGATTATATCCGCAAAAAAGAGTGCTTTCTAATATTGTATCAATATAGCCAAAGTTCCTCCAATTTTTGTTATTTTAATTTTTATTATTAATTTTCTTTTCCCCCTTTTTTTCATTAGTCTGTAATTTTCCTTTGTTTTATCTTCATTTTGAACTTATTTTATGAGTTCTATTTACTTGCAGCTTATGCGNTATATATATATTTATATAAGTATATTAAATTAAATCTTGAAATTTGAATGGTGACTTTTAATTGCATTTCCCTTTAATTGAGGAAATAAAAAAATAAAAAAACACACTCTCCACTTCTCTATTTTTGTTTGATGCTGCCATCTGCTTATGAATGTACTAACTAAAATAGCCAATGACAAGATTAATATTGTTTTTTGAACTATTCAATCTGTTAAAAAAATGTATGTAAATTAACATTATTGTTTTATTATTTGCGATTAAACAATGTCATACATTTTATGTAATTATAGGCTTCTACATCTTTTATTCTCTTTTTTAAAATAATGTTTTCTTATAAATAATGTCAGTTTCTTAAAGATGTTTAATTCCAAATTCATGTACCACTCCTCTTTACACACATTCATATTTACGACTTTTTTTATAAAGAGTTTTTATTAATCATATATTCCCTAGTAACACATAATACTAGATTACATCAGTGAGCCAGAAAACGCTATCAAACGCTATCTTGCACAATTTTCGAATATAAGAAAGATAGAAAAGGTTGCTGTTTTCTGATTAAGGATTTCTTTAGCGTTTTCACGAAATAATTTCTAGTTGAAATTATCCTTAAACTATTCAGTTTATTGGAGGATGATGAAGTAAAAATCTTCGTTTATTTCGTAGTAGTTTTAGCCTAAACTTCATGATCGGAATAATTAAAATAACTTTTTAAACAAGAAATTCTTGGGATTTAAGTGTGTAAAAACACTAAGAATCTGTTTGAAACCATTATTTTTTATCAAAAATAATCATATTTAAATACTCACCAGAAGAAAAATGATTACTGATGGCTGGTTGCAACAATTTCTTGAACACAAAATTTTGAATTTTAAAATGTCTTTCGATTTTGCTGCATTTTTATTTTAAGTTATTCAAATATTTCTATTTTAAGCAAATGCTCCCCCCCCCCTCCCAAAAAAAAGATTGTCTAAGCTATTACATATAAATGAAAAGAAATTTATAATTCAAGTTTGTTTGGTTTTTAAATTTATTTTAACGCATGTTTCGTGGATTTATACAAGCCAATATTGTAGAGTTTTTTTTCTCTGTCTTGTCATTTGACAACTTATATCACAGAGCTTGATAGTTACAAGTTTATATAATTTTTTGTATATTAAAACCTGGTATTTATTTATGTAAAATATCATGAAAATTAAGCAAACCCATTTAGTTGTTAATCATTTGATTTTGTAAAAATTATAAATTACGAAAAAAAATTTATTCTCTTTTTCAATTTAAATAATTTTTCTTTAATATTAGTTTTAGTGAAAAAAATTTAATTATTTTATGAGATTTATTCACTCATAAAGTACGCGTTTGTTTAATTATTTCTAAATAAATCGTTTAAATTAACATTAGTAACAACAGAACAGCTAAATATTTGAACAGAAACAATATTTTTCTTAACATTCGTTTAAATTTTTATTTATTTTAGAAACTTTATTATAAAAGAAAGAGAGTTAAAAGAGTTTTATAAGCTTTGAAAAAAATTCCCAAAAATCTTTAAGCTTTGTTTATTAATACGCGTAATAAAAATAATCTAAATACAGAAAAAGCAATACAAAATTATTTAAAAAAAAAATTTTATTATCTATTTAAGAAATATTTTATGGAAAGTAATGATGCAGTTCATATGCAAAGTATTTTTTGTCAAGCAGCTTTAAAACAATGAAAATAAACTTATGTTTCCGTATAACGTTTGAATGAAAAAATTGCACGCTACTGGGTCTCCAAAGTTGTGCGACTTCTGGAATTCGGTGGTGTTGAAAAATATTCTGTCAAAGAAATTCGAAATAATATTTCTTGGAGATTTTTGCTCTGGCACTTCATTATCTTGGCAAAATGTAAAGAATGTGTATCGGTGATTACCTGAAAAACATATTGAGCAAATTTAATTTCAGAAGCATTCTTTTAAACTTTCCATCTAAGCATTCTTTTAAACAATAAACTGAAAATACTGAAATCTTTTAAAATTAATTTGTTGCATTACAAAACGCCAGCGATATTTAAAAAGCAAATAATTTTTCAATTAGCCTATTGCATTATATGGTGTTCCAAAATTTGACCGAGAACGTCATACAGAAGAAAGGTCTTAGAAGAAAAGGGAATGAAAAAAATTCTATTTTTGTATGTCCATCTTGGGATAACTCTAAAACGGTTTCTGATCTCATTATTGGTGTCGTTTGCAAAGATATAAAAAGTGCTCATTTTAAGTAAGATGGTAAAAAAGAATGAGCATCGGTTCCCTACTAGGGCACTGTCCATTTTTGAAACTAACATATGCAACATATGCACATGCAACATATGCATATGCATATGCAGCATATGCATATGCATATAACATATGCACATGTAACCAACATGCAATAACATATTGAAAAACTTCTAAATTTTTATCTGTTGAAACAAAGATTAAAATAATTAAAATGGTTAAAGGTTTCCGTACTTGGGTCACTAATCACTACCTTGCATACATTTATTTATTTACCCAAGAAATGATAAAACAGCGTACTTACAAAAACTTCCACGTAAAAATATGCCGATTTAAATTATTATAAGAAATTCTCTGAAAGCAAATAAGGATTTTACTTTCTAATTTTACGCCACTTAATTATTAAACAACGAAAAACATTAACTTGATTTAAATTATTTTCCTACCTTCACACTATTAGAGTTCCGACTCGTAAAAAAGCATGAAAATTTACATTTATTGCTTCAAATCTTTAATGTTTTGTATTAATCAATAAGTATAAAAAAATCTCAAAAATTTTCTATAAAATTTTTTAAAGATTTTTAAAGTTTAAAAAATTAAAAAAAAATTTTAATATTTGTTATAATTGAAACCTTTAAATTTTAATTAAAAAAGTTTTGATGTAATTTTAATTAATTAATCTTTTTATTAATTTTACTTCAGCATTCTCTTCCATTAGTATTTCAAAACATTTATAATTATTTCATAAACTTAAAACTTTAAAACAAAATCTAAACGTTTTAAGGAAATTCCTTTAGTTAAGGCAACATAACATTTAAAATATTACATTCCAAAATTAATGTTTTCTTCACTAGGTTTTAAGATACATCGTTTCAAAACAGTTAAAAAAATTTTATTATTTAAGAAAAAACCTACTTAATTTTCAGCATCTGAAAAAAGCTAAATATGGGACAGACACAAAATAAGTCTCATTTTTTGTTCTAATTAAGGCGAAAATATTACTTTTCAACCTATTTAAAAAAGATTAATTTGTATCTTTTTAGACAAAATCTCTAAGTTTTTAAACTTTATGCGATTTATATGTTGTTGTTGGTTACGAATGTTTTTACATTAACTTGACTACAGTTTAAATTTGCAGTTTAATTTTTGTAAATATTTTTATTCATACCAGTTGGACTTAGAGGCACAAGTGGTTGCCATGGGAACTCCCTGTAACCTTTATCGTCTCCTTGGTAACCGTCTGCTAAAACATTAACTGGTATATTGTACACTCCCCAGTGAAGAAATGGTCCAATAACATATGCATCCAAATCTAAAGCGAAAAAAAAAAACATGAAACAAGTAAATAATGACATTTCAAGTTGTTTTGATTTGTTATGACCAGAATAAATGTACTATAAAAAGAGATTTTTAGACAATTTTCGACCAAGAAGGAGTTGTCCGATTGAAACGAAAATTGGTGGATAGGAAGACAATGTACAGAATAGTAAATGATTAAATTTTTAAAACAATTGAATAATTTATTGCAGAGTTACAGTAACAAGTTCAATAAAGTGTTGACCCGCCTCTAGCCTGGATAGAAGCTGCCACACGGCGTGGCATAGACCGATAGTTCCCGGATGGTCTCTTGGGATATTTCCTGCCAAATTCGATCCAATTGTCGAATGAGGTCATCAACATTCCGTGTCAGATGCAATTGCCTTCCCTTCATATCCCAGCAATGCTCAATGGGAGAGAGATCAGGTGATCTGGCAGACCAAGGAAAAGTTTGACAAGCTTGCAGACTGTTCATAGCAACACGTGCCGTATGTGGTCTGGCATTGTCCTGCTGAAAAACCAACCCAGGGCGTTGCAAAAGGAACTGTAGCAAAACAGGTCTTAGGATGTCATCGACGTACCACTGTACAGAAAGTGTACCTCTAATGACGACCAAAGGGGCCCGACTGTCAAAGGAAATGGCACCCCAGACCATAATGCCTTGTTGAAGGCCGGTGTGGCGTGCAATAGTGTAGGCAGGATCTCCCCTCTGCCCTGTGCGTCTCCAAACACGTCTTCGATGATCGTCAGGACACAGTTGGAAGCGGGATTCGTCGTAAAGGACTATATGTCCCCAGTCGGCATCATTCCAGCCTGATCGAGCCATGCACCACTGTAATCTGGCACCAAGAAGCGTCGATTTTTTTGTCATAGAGTGTATTAAATACACCTTCAAAAACTCTCAGATGTATGGGAAAAACTGCTAAAATGTAATTTGCTTTATCATTTTAGTAACTTTTAGGAAGTTTTGCATTTTCATGTAACTCATATTAAGACAAACCTGTACGAAATTGCATATTAATTGGAATTTTTAATTTTAAGGTGGAATCGAATTTTTCAAAATTTCATTCCACCTTAAACCATAATACGGTGCAAAATTCCTTTAATGGGGGATAAATTGTACCATGCTTCTGTTTATGGTGAACAAAATTATCATGCAAGTACGTTTAAAAATTATGATAAGCTTAAAAAAACAGCTTGAAAACATATCAAGCTTCTAAATAGTTGAAGGATATAATTATTTAACGAGCTTCAACATTTTTAACATTGCAAAGTAATCAAATCGTAGGTTCTTTTCTTCAATTCTTGTCCCTTACACATTTTTTGACTAAATATTTATTAAAAATTGTTAATCATTACATTATTTAATCATTAATTTATTACATCAAATTTTTTTAATCATTTATGCTTAACATTTATTTATCGCTTAGATCATAGTAAATTCCAAAATACTCCATTAACACTCTTGCAAGTTTTGAAGTGCCTTAAACTATATTTTTACAAATTTATTACGATCTTAATTTCGGTGTAAAATTGATAAAGAATGCTGTAGAAATTTATCCTTAAAATTGATTACAAGATAAACAGTAAAAAAATTTCGTACATAAATACAGCAAAAGTATCAGCATTCAATGTGCCAGTACGTTTTACCATTTTTATTCGTAAAGTTTTACGGAAAAAAAATCTGACATGCCTGACCATGCATGAAAATCTGACAAAATGTAAATATTACTGAAATTAAATAAATATTACTGCAAAAATATTAAAAAAATTTCATTAAAAATGGATTTTACAGAACATCAGTGTTCCAGTACTTTGTACTGTAATTTTATCCAGAATTTTTTACAGTCTTGACTTAAATAAAATGAAGATTTGACTGAATAGAATACCTTATATTAATACATTTACATTCATACGTATTCCCGCCATCACCATTAGAGCAGCTAAACACAAGTTTTAAAATTTCTTATGAAATTCTCAGTATTCGCTAGAAATTGGTGTTATGTGAAAATAAAATTGATGTGTAATTAACAAAAGATAGCTATTTAAAATTTTTCGAGCTTCAAATGCTTCAAAGTACAAAAGTTATGGTTCAATATTGAAGCAATTTTCTTGAGGGTGTTGTATTTCTTCAGAAATTTTGAATAATATCATATAAGTTCACTTGATTTTGGCCCATAGTATCACAAGCATGGCATAAGAAAATAGCTTTTTTGCCGGTTAGTGTGATTAACTTACCAACCATAATAACCGTTACATATTTCTTGCATTGGTCTGTAGCATCAAAAGCTACTACTGGAGAATCCATGGTGTCTTTTACAGAGACATTACTCCCGCAATTCACCTGCGTTTTACCAAAACACACCTGAAAAATATGAAGAAGAAAACAAAACAATAAAAATATACTCTGGATACTTTGCCTTAAATGAGTATAAAAATTTATCCAATTTATCTCTCTCTCTCTCTATCTCTATCTATCTATCTATTTCTCTCTCTCTCTCTCTCTCTCTCTCTCTCTCTCTGCCTCTCTCTCTCTCTCTCTCTCTCTCTCTCTCTCTCTCTCTCTCTCTCTCTCTCTCTCTCTCTCTCTCTCTCTCTCTCTCTCTCTCTCTCTCNAGATAGATAGATAGATAGATAGATAGATAGATAGATAGATAGATAGATACATAGATAAATAGATAATAAGCCATATAGAGAAAACATGGAAAATAATAAATATTAATGAAAAAAGAAAAAAAAATTATTAAAATAAAATATTTTTAAAAGAAATATAATGCCTTCATCAGCTCACACGATTATATCCTCAAAATGGAGTGCTTTCTAATATTGTATTAATATAGTGAAAGGAGTACTCAAAAACATTTAAACAAAATAGAACACATTAAGTAAAATATATATCACAGAAAAAACAGAAAATAAAATAATAAAATGTAAAGAAAAAACACAACAAAACACAAAACGAAATCTAAAATGCAAGTAACACATTCGAATGATCCTACATGTACCGGAATCTTTTAAGAATGACTTAAAATATTTTCGTAGATTACAAAATATGAAAACAGATGTTTAAGTGGATATTATATATAAGTGGATATTATATATATATATATATATAATATATACGAAATAAAGCATATCAAACAAAAAATAGTACATAAAATGCAAGAAAAATACAGAACAAAGTGCCGAATGTAAATATAAAGCGAGTAAAATGAACTTGCGGGAATATATAGGAATGAGCTGGAACATATAATAAAGTTATTGTTATTTTATCTTTATTAGAATATATAATAAAGCTATTGTTTACTAACTTGCATAAGATTCTTATTTCTAGCAATATTTAACGTAAAACATCTCATATTCTTTTATTAAGTTTGAAAATATCAAAATCATTAAGACATAAACTAATAATACTAAAATAATGATAATAATAGTTTTATTACTTGTAATTTCCCTTTACATGAATTGACTACGTCAGGGACAATATGATATTGTCTTAATTGTTCATCACAAGATTGGGCGAAGATGCCAGAAATTGGCAATAGAAGCACAATTATGAATCTTGAGTACATGATAGCGTAGTGAAGCATAGTATCATAGCTGCAAAAAGTCGTAATTCAATTCATCAAAATTATTTTATCCGCAAAACACGAAGTTATCTCAGTTTCATGGATTTAGCGATGCAGAGACTTTTAGATTTGTCAATTGAGTGATTATGAGAACATATTAAACAATCAAAACACCTCGAGTGAGGTTTTTTTCGTGACTATTTAAATCTTAAATCACGAACTTTGATTTTATGAACTTCATCGAATGTACTTTTTTTCAGATTTCAAAAATGAATTGTTTTGATAAGAAGTAGCTTCGTAATAAAATTTCAAGTTAATTCATTTTTTTGCAATAAATGCTGTGACATTAATTGTTAATAAAAATTACAAAGAAATGTTTATCGAGTCTTTTAAAAGGGTTGTTTTGAAAGAAATTTTTTTATTGCTAGATTCAAAGAATGGGTATGGACTGGTAGCGATAAATATGGTTTCTAGGACCATCAAATCACCCGGTCACTTCTCAAAATATTTTGAAATTAACCTACTATGATTTAAAATTACCCAAGTTACCAAATTACTAATTGCAGTCTTAACCCTCTCACTGCTTATCCCGTGATTTCCACGGGAGACGTAGAAATATCAAAATTTGTGCAACCCGCCATTTTTGTGGGGATGCGCTTTCTTAAGTCTATTTAACTGTACAACCCGCTCTTTTCTCGTTTATGGTTTCAGTTTGGCTTTTCTGATATGTTTATTTAATTTGTTCCGGGTTAACAAAGTTGTCCATATTTCTGTGAAATACACAAGCACGTTGGCAGCATTTTGTGAGCACTTTTCAAAGTTTTCTGTTTGTTGCTCCTGAAAAATAAAAAACAATGACAAAAAAACGCAAATTTGATGTTTTTTTACATCAAATTTATATTTACATTTGCGAGGTCTCCTCTAAGCCATCTTTCGAAGTTTATCAATCGAAATGTTGATTCTAATAAATGTTTTGTAAGTATTTTGCATATTTTCAAGTTAGTAAAATATATTTCTTTGTATTTCTTAAAAACAAATCATAATTTAACCAATATTAGCTTTCAAATTTTTCCTTTTAGACTATTTTTCTTCAATTTCTATTTTTCGGCAAAACATTCTTGATGATCTAATTCTACATTGAAAAAAAAAAAACTCGTTCGCATAAAAATATTTTTGTATTTTGTAAATCTAAAATATACATAAATTTGAAATATCTAATAAATGAAACATACAAAATCTGACCCTATTTTAATAAGAATAAATAAATAAATGAAAAATGCTACGGCAGGGTGAACATGGAAAAAACGGTTATTGTAGTTGATTTCCTCTTGTGTTTTTACCGTCTTATAATTTTTAGTCAATTTTTCAAATCAGAAGAAAAGAACATAAGAATAGAACATAACATAAGAACATAAAACAGGAACATAAAAATAGTTCATGGCGTCTTAAAGTCGTCTTATAAATATAGACAATCTCAACCAGTGTCTTTTGACAGAGTGTCATTAAGCAAGTAAAATTGCATCGACGCAAAAGCATTTAATGTTATTAATTATGATTTTCCTCAAAATCTCTTCAATGCAAAAGAGAAAAAATTATACTCTTAGAAATTAAAATTCACATGAAACAATTTACTTGGATCTAAATTACATCTCAAAAAATATCATTGAATTATAAAATGCAAATAATATAAAATTAAGCAAAACATCTGAACAATTTCTTAAGTGTAGTTAAATATATTTTTAAATCATTTTTGAAACCCCTAAAAAATCATAAGCCTAATACAACGGCGTTTCATCTGGTCAGTTTTCCCAGGCTTATGTACCTTCTGGCGTGATTGACAAATATCAGGTTTTGTCCTATTGTTCTCATGCATAACATCAATTTCTATATACCCTCTTACGGTCAGGGCATAGAGCGTTCGCCTTCCAATGAGGTGAACCGGGTTCGACTCCCAGCGATGGCTTGTTGATACGAATTCCACTCCCAGCTCCCACAGACCACAGTGCTGGCATAAAATATCTTCAGTGGTAGACGGATCATGCGTTAGAGTCCCCTTGCCACCAGGCTAACCGTGTGAGGTTTTCGTTCTTTTCCTTTCAATATAGCGCAAATGAGGGTTAATTCCATTAAAAAGTCCTCCACGAAGGAAAATTTCCCCGCAATACTTGATCCAGGAGTTTCCTTGTCTTCTGGATCGGGTTCAAAATACAAAAGCTACGGAGCTGAACTTTAATAGTCGTAAACCCAAAATTGGGTCGGCTGTTCAATGACGGTATTAAAATACCCTCTTACGGGCATTGGTATTGAGGTCTCCCTAATTTTTGATAATATTGTTAACGCAAAAATTGTTTTTGTTTCTTAAACTGCGTGGTTTGTGCAACCGCTTTACGTTTTAAAAGATGGAGTAAATCGTGTAATTTTAGAAGTGACCACTATTATTATAATTCTTCTTGACAAAAATTTTGGTTTTTAATTTTCCTGTCGAACAAACAATTAAAATCAGCATTTACTAAATGGTTCTATTTTCTTTGGCCTTGTTATCGTCAAAAATAAAAGTTATAGTGTTTTTTTCATCAATTTTATTGTTTCATTTCATTTTTTTTAAAATAATTTTGTCTCCATTTTTTTCATGTTTTCCATCTTCTTATATTGATTTTTAACCGATTGTTTAACTATTTTTTGAACCATATTTCAACACACAAATAAACATTGTTGTTGTTGTTACTTTGCGTCGCACTAGAGCTGCACAATGGGCTATTGGCGACGGTCTGGGAAGCATCCCGGAGGATGATCCGAAGACATGCCATCACAATTTTGATCCTCTGCGGAAGGGATGGCACCCCCGCTTCGGTAGCCCGACGACCTGCGCGCGAAGTCGAGCACTTTACGGTAGCACAGTTTAACGAGGACCAATACCGCACACCCTCGGTCCCTACGCAGACTGATCCAAGTGGTCACCCACCCGCACTCTGACTGTAGCCAATGATGCTTGACTTCACACATAAATAAACATAAAAACATAATTCTTGCATAAAAGTATATGTATTTGAATTCGGTGTTCTAAAATTAACAATAAACCGGGAGTAAAAAGCTTCACAAGCACTAATTGTTTGTTTTTCTTTTACGATGCCTGAAGCTCACTTTATAAATGGGAATTTAACTCCTTCAGCAACACTAGTATTTGTCAATCAATTGACATTATGTGTATTAAATACTTTATACATGCATTCAAAATGTCTTTTTTTTCATTTATTATTTTTATTTTACGTATTTCAAACTTTCAAATATATGTATTACATTAAATCTGAACTATTGCAGATATTTTGCGTTTTTCGTTAGCTTTTGATTACACAGAGCGATTCACAAATTCTTGGTCAAAATGAAATAACAAATCAGGCATACAAAAAGAACGTGGCATACATATAATTATAAATGATCTCTGAAGTCGCTAAAAGGGGATATAAGGGATTATCAAATTCACTGTCGTATTCTCAGTTTTTGTAAATTTTTATGAGCCCAAAAACATAGCGATTAGAGTAATTGTTTTAATATTAAAAAATTAGGCCACGAGCGTTTTTCATTTTCACAAAACTTTTCTCTATATTGACGTTTTGTGCCATTTTCAAAATAAGCGTAGATATCGCTGGCTTTAGATAGGCTTAACTTGGCGTCATGAGTAACAGTTGCAAACTGACCAGTTATCAGAAAAAATATTAAACTGAAATTTTTTTAAAAAAAAATGCTGTATTGTTTAAAAATTTGTTTTTCCTAAACAAAAAGAGAATGTATCGATGTGTACGTGATACAAAATATAAATAAATTTTATAATTCGAATTTTATTGAGCTCATATCGCAAATTCAAAGAAATTATATAGATGAATAAATAAGTATGTTGCAAAAATATAAAAGATAATAATGCAGACATACTAAGAGCTCCGCGGTACTGAAAATTACAAAAAGTTTTAAAATTGTTCGTCGAATAATGACATTTTGAAATCGAATTAAGTATTTATACCTTTTCCTGCAAGTTAAATTCTATTAATTGTTTTTTTTTATGCATGATAAATTGCATGTTTATCATAAATATGTTTTATATTTTTATTTAATGTATAATAAATAAATAATATCATAAACATACAAATTTATAAACTTATAAAATACATACATATCTAATATAATACAGATTTATCTTTAAAAAGTAGTACATGTTAACCGTAATGTTAATATTTTTTCGAATGTTCATTATTATTTTTTTAACAGTAAGAGATATTAGCAAAAATAATAAATTTAAAGAAAAGAAGAAGAAAAAGATAGAAGCGCTGGCAAATACATTTTCGTATATGGTGGCGCCATCTGTGAATTTCGGTTTCAAATTAATCATTTTGAAACAATTTTTAACTATACATTAAAATGTATTTATTAACCTAGAAGAGTAAGCTTATGCAAAATTCATTAAATGAATAGGACAAATTATTATTATCATTGTTTTGTACTGTGTAATGTATTCTATTTTCTTTTAATCATATTTACAAAACATTGGAATATTATACTTTCGTTTTGTCTCAAATTAATCCAGACCAATATAATGATATAAAATAAGATAATACGATATTTTTTTCATAATTTTTAAATTTATTTATATACAAGTCCTTAAGTATTTATTTTAACAATATATTAAAAGCTTTACCGTGAAAAGCAAGAGGAGGAAAATACCTATACTGGGGATCTCCTATACTTAAACCATTCGTATATCCCTAGTAGTACCCCAGTATCTCTAATATTCGTGTACCCATTCGCTATCAAACCTGCCGGTACATTAAATACAGTCCAATGCTAAAATCCCTTTATGAGTGGCACATCAGGATCTGTAAAAAGAATTCCTTTCGCAGTATACTTTTAAAACTATACTTTTTTAATTAAGTGTCATAATCAGAAAACAGCAAACCCATCAATTGGGTTTTAAGTAGCATTATTCAATTTTGTAAGTTATGTAGCATTTATTCGAAACAATGTTTACCTGTAAAATGATTTAAATGAGGTATTTTAGTGCTGATCTAAGATAAAAATTTTTGCAGCTTCGCTTCTTACCAACAAAATAAATAAATGATAAATTTGCCGATAAATAA